GAATTAGTTACTGTATTGACAGTTAAAACTATCATTAATCCGAATAACTTACAAAAAATCCGAGCTTTAGCATGCTCAGCATATTTAAGTGTAACAACTCTATTGCTTTCAGCTGAGCCTAGATAATATGCGCCACCGTGCATATTGAATACTACTTTATCCGTTTCATTATTTCTACTTTCTTCTTTCTTGGTGTATACCCACTCTCCATGTAGTCTATCATTTGGCTCTTTCCATTTCTCGTCTAACACATCCTCATATTTTTTTTAAAACTTTTTCTAAATGTTTTCTACTCTCTTGCCTGTATCGTTCGTCTAATATGACTTGCTCTGTAATTATATTAGAAGGAACCTCGAACTTAAATGCCTCAACAAATTGCTTTTGAGCCTGTTCAATAGGCAATTCCCATGAGTCACTTTTTTTAATCCCTGCCACCATTGAATGGAACTCTAAACTCCATGATTTTACAGGTGGATTTTCAGAGAGAGACATTTGTTTAATTACTTTTTTAGACAACCAAGAAAAACGAACCTTAACGCTAAATGCTTTAACGTTAATGGTAATATATATATATATTATAATATATATTGTTATAATAAAATGGAGATAAATAGAAAGTCCGTACTACTTAATTTATCCCTATGCGATTAGCGATTCATTTTTTAGAGGTATACCTCTGCATCTCCGAATTTATTATCGTTATTAACATGGTAAAGATTAGTTTAAAAATAAGCTAATCTTTACCATTGCCCTAAAAATGACAATAGAATTTGCAATCGACTCCATGATTAGGTGCTAATCGTATAGTGTAGGGATGTTAATCGGTTCTTTCTAACCGATCCTGGCAGATCCTCAGTAAGGATTCGGTCCTTAAGTCACATGAAACATAATACATTTATATTAGATCAGATCCTGAATCGAATTGTTTAATAATACAGAATTAAATTGATTGGATGAACTTATTCAGAGGATCCAATATGTATTATGTTTTTCATGTTCTTTAAGGATTTGAGTCCAAGACGATCCTAGAAAATCTTAGGACTGGATCGGACCGGGTTGACACGGCCCGGTCGACCGGGCCGACTATTTTACCAATAAAATCACAGGATTCGATGTTATATATAACAGTCAGGGAATATGTCAGATCAATTTTACTTAGTAACGTGGCTATAGTAAAGCATCCGGTGTACATGTTATTTGAAAAATCTGCCGATGATTATCATCGACCAATTTAGAAAAT